CCCGAAGACCCGGACCGCCGCCGGGTGAGTAAAAAATTAAAAAGGCGCCTAAGTTAGGCGTTCTTCTTTAGGGCGCGGGGACCTCTTAGGCACGAGGCCCGATTCAGGGGAATCGGGGGAATTGGCCTAAAGCCGGCCCTGCAGGGAGCCCTTTGCCAGAGCTGGTCTCTTGTCTCCACTCCCCCATCCACGGCTACCAGCCCTGGGCCGGAGCTGTCAGTGCCATGGCAACAGGTTTATTCAGTGATTTGTAGGCCCAGATTCACCCATCCCTGGGCTCTAGGCAACCCCCCTCATGTCTGCCCCCCGCCTCCAGGAATTGTTTGGTTTCAGCTTTGAAATCTATCTGGCATCCTGGCAAATTCATATATTGACTCCTTTCCATGCGTACAGCTCTGCTCACTGCCCCCGCCCTGAGCACTGGCTCCACACTCCCATAGAAAAGGGCATAAGCATGGGAAGTAGAGGCCACTCCCCAACCCCATGGGCTCCACCAGCTCCCGGGGTCCAGGCCACCGGCCCTGGGGGATCCACTGCGAACCTCTGGGGTTCCACAGTCACCCAGGGTCCCACCGCTGCCCGGGGCTCTACAGCTACTCTTAGCTATGGTTCCAGCGTGGGGCGGTGAGGGGTACAGACAGGGTAAGGGGGGTACACCTCAGCACCCGCACCCTAAAAGTTGTTCCAGCACCACTGGGAAATGGGCCACACAAAACTTATTCCACCCAGACTCAGGTCAAATGAGTGCTTAGGTTTTTTCTTTGCTACTTCCATTGGTATCCAATAAATGGCATTGGTGTATCATGAATTTCCTCAATCCTTTTTTTATCAGCAGCTTTATACAGTTGATTCATTTCAGGAATTGTATTTCATCATTAGCCCCTCCTATCGATTGGGACACCCCCTTTTAAGCAATTTATCTTAATATCCCAAAGTTATACCCTGGTTTATATCTTTTTACATTTCTTCTTCCTTGTGCCAGACGATTCCTAGAGTGCAACGTTTACAGTGAAAACCAACAAAACCTTTATAACCTTCTAAATTTGGAGGACACACTCCATACATTCTTTGATTGTACATAAGCATTTCAACTTATTTAGGACGTACAACAGAACAAGAGACATTTTCCACATACGGAAGGATGTCGATCTGATTCACAATCACAACACAAACAAAGATGCGGATTTTAATTTCGGGGGAAAGAGATGATTCATAGTCCATTTGATTTAGGAAAATAATGTATAGTTTATACTTTCGGGTGAAAACACTTTGCGTAGGCAAGCAGGGTGTGACCGTAGCTTGGTAAATTGGAGTTCCTTTTAGCTAGGTTGGGAGGGAGAAAGAGGTTTATACAGAAGCAAATTATGAAATATTCTTGTCTAGGAGATTAACAATAGTCTCGTTTAGATATTTCAGTTTCTATTTCTGGGGAGAGGAACTCCCAACCTTGGCTGATCTATGGGTTCTTAGACAAGATGTCTCATATAATATGAACCATTTTCTTATTGTCTTTTCTTCTTGGGTGGATCCTATTTTGGGATAAACAGAGGTGGACAACTTTTCTAATTTTGGGGAGCCAGAAAGAATCAGTAGCTATTAATCGTTCAAAGGCATATCTGTTCCCTACATCCATCACAGAGCCAAGGGTGAAAGCTAAAAGCCAGAGGCAATGGATGAGCTGGAAGCATGGTCAGGAAGCAGAGGCGGGGGTTGCAATGAAGACAGGAACTAGACAAATTGGAGGTTCAACAAGGACAAGTGGCTAAGTGGCAGTTCTGCAGATAAGGATCTGGGGATTAAAGTGGATGAGAAGCTGGATATGAGTCAACAGTGTGCCCTTGTTGCCAAGAAGGCTAGCGGCATATTGGGCTGCATTAGTTGGAGCATTGCCAGCAGATCGAGGGATTGATCATTCCCCTCTATTCGGCATTGGTGAGGCCACATCTGGAGTACTGCGTCCAGGTCCCCCGCCCCAGAAAGGATGTGCACAAATTGGAGAGAGTCAGTGAAGGACAACAAAAATTATTAAGGGGCTGGGGCACATGACTTACGAGGAGAGGCTGAGGGAACTGGGCTTATTTGGTCTGCAGAAGAGAAGAGTGAGGGGGGATTTGATAGCTGCCTTTTGTGATGGGTTCTCTCATGGGGACCCCCTTGGGACTGTCACTTGATGCACTGAGATACCACTGAGCCTAACCCTTCTTCCAGCCTGGGCACCCCTTGCCTCTGTCTGCTGAGCCAGACCCTCCAGGCCTCCTCCAGCACAGACACAGAGATAGGGCCACACCCCTCTGCAGAATACAGACACTGAAATCTGCTCATCTCTGGGGTGACTCAATTAAAGGGACTTACCTCGGCACCCCAGTGCACAGCCCCAATGGGACCTGAACCCCAAATAAATCCATCGTACACTGTATAAAGTTTGATACAGTATAAGTTCACATTATTCACCCTCTTTCTCGAGGTAGAGAGAGATATGCACAGACTGTTGACTCCCCAGGTAACAATTACTTACACTGGGTTTATTAATAAACAAAAGTGATTTGATTAAGTATAAAAGGTAGGATTTAAGTCAGGGGCGGGCAAAATTTTTGGCCTGAGGGCCACACTGGGGTTGCAAACTATATGGAGGGCTGGGTAGGGAAGGCTGTGCCTCCCCAGACAGGATCCCCGTCCCCTATCCACTCCCTCCCACTTCCTGCCCCCTGACTGACCCCCTCAGAATCCCCGACCCATCCAACCCCCCTTGCTCCTTGTCCCCTGACCACCTTCTCCCCTAACAGTCCCCCTGGGACCTCACCCCCTATCCAACATCCCCTTCTCCCTGTCCTCTGACTGCCCCGACCCCTATCCACACCCACGCCCCCTGACAGGCCCCTGGGATTCCCACGCCTATCCAACCCGCCATGTTTCCCGTCCCCTGACCCCTCCCCGAACCTCCACCCCATCCAACCTCCCCCCACTCCCTGTTCCCTGACTGCCCCGACCAGTGCCACGCCACGCTGCCAAAACACAAACAACCCACCCCCCCAAGCGCCGCCCGGCCGAAACAAAAACAACAACAACAAAAAACCCAAGCGCCACCCACCACCCAAGATTGGCCGCCCCTTACAAGGTGCCGCCCCAAGCACGTGCTTGGTCGGCTGGTGCCTGGAGCCGGCCCTGCCTATCCAGTCCCCCTGCTCCCCATCCCCTGACCACCACCCCAGAACCTCCACCCTATCCAATTGACCCCTGCTGTCCGTCCCCTGACTGCCCCCTGGGACTCCCCTCTCTCCACCCTCTTACCATGCCAGAGCCAACCACGCTGCCGCAATGCCCAGCAGGAGCGGCGGGCCAGAGCGCTAGCGGCGCAGTGAGCTGAGGCTGCGGGGGAGGGGGGACAGCAGGGGAGGGGCGTCCCTGGCCGGGAGCTCAGGAGCTGGGCAGGATGGTCCCACGGGCCGGATGTGGCTCGTGGGCCATAGTTTGCCCACCTCTGATTTAAGTGGTCAAAAGAGATAACAGACAGAACAACACAGGTTACTAAGCAAATTGAAACAAACACGCCAAGCTAAGCTTAATACACTAAGAAACTGGTTACATGTAATATCTCACCTTCAAAAATGTTCCAATAAGCTGCTTTCATAGACTAGACTCATTTCTAGTCCAATCCTTCCCCCTGTTCAGTCTCTCTTAGTTCCAGCAGACATCTTGGGTGTTAAGCAGGGGTCTCCTCACGACCCTCTCTCTGTCTTGCTTCACACCCTTATATAGATTTGGCAGAAGGCGGGAATCCTTTGTGTCTTTGTTTAAACATTCCCGCCCAGCTTTGTGGAGAAATATCAAATTCAAGATGGATTCCAGCATCAGGTGACACAGACACATGTCTTCACATCGCCCCTCCTCCTTACAGGCGTCCCACAGACTTATAGGGAAACAAATCCATTCACAGCCCATTGTTTCTTGCTTAAGAGTCATCAAGTTCCTGAAGTACCATTAATGGCCCTCACTTAGCATAACTACAATAGGACCTTAGATTTCTACTTCATATTTCTAACTTCAGATATAGGAATGATACATGCATACGAAGAGGATGAACACATTCAGCAGATTATAACGTTTCCAATGGTATGTCACATCACACATTTTGCATAAAGCATATTCCAGTTATGTCACATTCATATTCATATGCATATTTCCATAAAGAATATGGAGTGCAACATAACACCTTCAAGTACCTGAAGGGGGGTTCCAAAGAGGATGGAGCTTGGCTGTTCTCAGTGGTGGCGGATGACAGAACGAGAAGCAATGGTCTCAAGTTGCAGTGGGGGAGGTCTAGGTTGGATATTAGGAAACACTATTTCACTAGGAGGGCGGTGAAGCACTGGAATGGGTTACCTAGGGAGATGGTGGAATCTCCATCCTTAGAGGTTTTTAAGGTGCGGCTTGACAAAGCCCTGGCTGGGATGATTTAGTTGGGGTTGGTCCTGCTTTGAACAGAGGGTTGGACTGGATGACCTCCTGAGGTCTCTTCCAACCCTAATTTTCTATGATTCTAACTGAAGCAGGCAACTAAGCACAGGAGCAGAGTGTGGAAAATAGAAGCAGAAAGCAAGAAGCAGGTCCAAATGCAACTACAGACATGGGACGCGTTGAGCCTCCAGCAAGCTCCGGCTGCTGCTGGGTCACGTAGTAGCTAGCTCCACCCCTTCACCAATCAGGAAGTACAATCAAATCAGGCACACCCTACCAGATGCCCAGTCAGCTGCTGGGAGGCGGACCCTGCTGCACTCGGATCACAGACAGTCTGTGCTGTTACTGTAGAGAAAGACCAGGTGTGGGGGATTTTTCAGAGCTTGGGTGCACATTGTTGGAGAAGTGAGATTTTCATGTTGGCAGGGGGCAATTTTAATTGTACTCCTAACGAGCCATTAGCTAGGAATCCTGGAACTGCATCCACTGTCTGCTCAGTGACTATCAACTCTTCTATGGTTCAAATCTATCATTTCTTTTTCTTGTTTTCACTGCGTTTCGTGTACCAATTTTATTAAAGGTCTTTTAAAAAGTCAAAAATCTCTCCTTCTTGTGGGAATTCTCTGATGCGTGAGTTCCCACTGAATCGTTTCCCACCATTGGCGTATTTCTAGGGTATCCCACTCTTGTGGATTCTCCGATGTTTAGTGAGGTAGGAGTTGTTACTGAAGCTTTTCCCACAGTCCAAACATTTATGGGTTTTCTCTCCCATGTGGATTGTCTGATGTGTAATAAGGTGTGATTTCTGAATGAATCTTTTCCCACAGTCCAAACAAGTATGGGGTTTCTCTCCCGTATGGATTCTCTGATGTCTAAGAAGGGCTGATCTCTGACTAAAACTCTTCATACAGTCCAAACACGTATAGGGTTTCTCTCCCGTATGGATTCTCTGATGTCTAAGAAGGACCGATCTCTGACTAAAACTTTTCCCACAGTCCAAACATGTATGGGGTTTTTGTCCCGTGTGCGTTCTCTGATGTACAATAAGGTGTGAGCTCTGATTGAAACTTTTCCTGCACTCAAGACATTTATACGGTCTCTCTCCTGTGTGAATTCGGCGATGTTTAATAAGGTGTGCACTGTGACTGAAGCTTTTCCCACACTCAAGACATTTATAGGGTCTCTCTCCCGTGTGCAATCTCTGATGCATAATAAGGTAGGAGCTGTGATTGAAACATTTCCCGCAATCCAAGCAAATATGGGGTTTCCCTCCCGTGTGATTTTGCTGATGTTTAATAAGGTTTGATCTCACATTGAATCTTTTCCCACACTCGAGGCATTTATAAGGTCTCTCTCCTGTGTGCAGCCTCTGGTGTGTAATAAGATCTGAGCTCTGAATGAAGGTTTTCCCACAGTCCAGGCATTTATAAGGTCGCTCCCCCATGTGCATTCTGCCGTGTTTAATAAGGTCTGAGCTCTTACTGAAGGTTTTCTCACAGTCCAAGCATTTATACGGTTTCTTGCCTGAGTGGTTTCTCTGAAGTGTAACAAGGTTTCTACTCACATTGAATCTTTTCCTACTCTCTAGGCATTTATAGGGTTTCTCTTCCCTGTGATATGTCTGCTGGGCTGTGGTTTCCTTGGGATCTTTGCATGCTGCCCCATATTGAATGGATTCATCCAGTTTCCTCCTGGGATAATTTCCCACCTGCATCTCTGATTTGTGTCGATCTCCCCAGACTTTTCCCTGTTCCAAGTCCTGGGAAAAAATCCCTTCAGCTCTTCTCAAAAACATCTCCTGCGGTTCCACTTTCCCAGGACCTTCCTGCTGCTGATTCTCCTCCTTGTTCTCACTCACTGTCCTATCACCTGCTGGAAGAGAGAGAATCCAGACAGGAGTCACTGCCTGTGCTGGGGAGAAAGGGCAGAAAGGGGAATAGCAAAGAGGGAAAACACAACACAGTGACTGTTGGGGAGATGGAGACGTTGGATTCTGCCTCCACATCCCAACCAAACACTCCCAGGTACATAAAGTCAGGGAGGAAATTCCCGACAGCTAACAGGATGAGTGGGAAGCCGTGACTGACATTTGCTGGGATGATATGACACCAGAACTAAGGGCTCCCACTCACCACACATTTTGGGACTCCCAGTTTTTCCTTCACTCGCCAGATGTTTCTGTCTCGGTTTCCCTGACCCCTCACCTGTGCGGGTGCCTCTCGGGCTCTCCCTTTCCTTCGCGGCCTGGAGATCTGGGACCCACGGCTCCTTCCCTCCTTCCAACCGGGCGATCAGCTCAGGTTTGGGAATGGGGAATCCTGCACAGGGAGTGAAATCAGACCAGATCAAGGTGCATGTAGCATTGGTAGAGTATCTGTCACAAAGAGCATTCCCTGAGTTTAACCTGACCCTGAGCTATGCTGGAAGGGGTGGGGATGTGGAACGCAAACAGATGGGGGACAGGGTCACTGAGCTCCCTTGGGAGAGGCAGACGTGGGGAGATATCCCAGGATCTGTGTGCTCTGGGGGACAACACATCTAGATAGACTTACAAGCAGTGCTGGGAAGGAGCCGATGGTCATGGTACATGTAGGTATCAATGACACAAAGGAAAGTTAGCATAGGGTTCCTGGAGGCCAAAGCTAGTCTGATAGGTAAGAGATTAGAATTCATTCTCTGAAATGCTTCCGGTTCCACGTGCAAGGCCAGGAAGACAGGCAGAAACGCAGGGTCTCAACAGATGATGGCTTAGGAAGGAGGTATTTAGCTTTATTACGAACCGGGGAAGTAAGAGATTCTATAAGATGGACGGGCTCCCACTAAACCAAAATGAAACCAGACTGCTGGCATGTCAAATTAAAATGGTTGTAGAGGGTTTTTCAAACTAAGGGCTGGGGAAAAGCGGACAAGTGCGGAGGAGGAAACAGTTCAGGCAGAAGCATCTCTTAAGGATGAATTTATTAAAGGGGCATGTCATAAATATAAAGGGAAGGGTAACCACCTTTCTGTATACAGTACTATAAAATCCCTCCTGGCCAGAGGCACAAAATCCTTTTACCTGTAAGGGGTTAAGAAGCTCAAGTAACCTGGCTGGCACCTAACCAAAAGGACCAATAAGGGGACAAGATACTTTCAAATCTGGGGAGGGGGAAAAGGCTTTGTTATGTCTGTTCTTTGTCTGTCTGTTCTGTGTGCTTGCCGGAGACAGATCAAGGAGGCAAGCAATCCAACTCGATTAGAATTAGTAAGTAATAATAAGGGAATGCGTTAGCTTACTTTTATTTTGGCTTGTGATTTTCCTTGTCTAGAAGGAGGTTTTGTCTAGAGGGAGGTTTATCCCTGGATTTGTAACTTTAAGGTTTTGCCTAGAGGGAAGATCCTCTATTTTCTTGAGTCTGTTGTTATTCTGTAAAGTACTTACCATCCCGATTTTATAGAGGTATTCTTTTACCTTTTCTTTAATTAAAATTCTTCTTTTAAGAACCTGATTGATTTTTCATCGTTTTAAGATCCGAGGGTTTGGGTCTGTGTTCACCTGTACCAATTTGTGAGGATATTATTCTCAAGCCTGCCCAGGAAAAAGGGTGTAGGGGCTTGGGGGGATATTTGGGGAAGGTAGGGCTCCAAGTGGCCCTCCCTAAATGTTTGTTTAAATCACTTGGTGGTAGCAGCGTTACTTAATCCAAGGAATAGGGAAGTTTTTAACCTAAGCTGGTATAAATAAGTTTAGGGGGTCTTCATGTGGGTCCCCACATCTGTACCCTACAGTTCAGAGGGCGGAGGGAACCCTGACAGGGTGACTCTATATTCTAGTACTGAGGCTAGGGAAGGAATTGGTAAAGTACCAATCGGAGCTAGAGAGGAACAGTTATGCAAAAAAATGTCCTACTGAAACATAACACATGAAGGCAAGCATATTGAGAAAACGTACAAATGCTTACACACAAATATATAAGTATGCTTACATACAAATGTTTGAAGTCTACAAATACTAGTATGGCTGAACCCAGTGCCTGGGTTAAATGAGGTTATTGATATAACAGGCATTCCGGAAAAGCGATGGAATGAGGATAATCAATGGGACACAGTAATACAAGGGTTTAAAATATATAGGAACAATAGAGTAGGTCACCCTGGTGGGGCAA